CTTTCCCTCATTTTTACAGATGGGGAAATGAAGACACAGAGACACTAAGTGACTACTGTAAGGCTTTTTCAGGGTTGGAACAGAACTCAGATTACATTTTTCTTCTGTGCTTTAGTAATCCTAAAGATAAGTTTCCCTTCTGAAGGGAATTATAGGCTTTACTTAAAAATAATTCCTCGGGATCGCATCGTAAACTGCTCAAATAGTTTTCTGGCTTCCTGTTTTAGATACCATTTCCCTTTCCTACCTCATTCTACACCACAGCAGAAAAGCCATTTCTACTGACCTTAAAAAGCTCTGGATCATGCCATGCCTGCTTATGCGCCAGGGTTTAGAAATGAGGGTAAAAAGAAAAAGTCAAGACTCTTCATAAGATTGAAGAGCAGGAATCTACTCAAATAAAGTGAAAGATAATTACATTACTTTGAATACTTAAGTTTAAAAACTGCGACTTGCCTGTTGACTCCTGAATTATAACTTTTCCACTAAAAGGGGATATGTCATTTCAGTATATTTGCACAAATATAGTACAGGTTGTAAGAAATGTGAAAACAGGAATATGGCTGTCTATGCAGGAGGAAACAATTACATTCACAGAAAACAACGAGCTGTTTAAATGAACTGATCTCCTCTTTTCCAAAATAGAGGAAAAGATTAACATGCTTTTCTTGATACACACCAAATTGCTTCCAGCATTCCTATACCAACCTATCTCCTTTGAAGAAGTAGGTTTTCCCAACGTCCTCCCACCAAATTGCTGAATCAATACCATGGGAAGGAATTCCGCTTCCAAGTGTTATCAAATCATGAGGATACCCTGGCTGGAGAGTAGTGTCCTTGAAGACCCAGAATTTGTTACCTGTACAAAAGCATATATACACATACACGTGTGTGTTAGTCTCCAGAACTCTCAGTATTAAAATTAACATAGCTTAAAGATATAAAAAAGAGTCTGATTCTGCTAAACACATTAAAATGAAAAATGTCCTATTAATGCAGAGAATGCAAAATAAAGTGAAATATCTCTCACATACAACTTGCATTTATAAAGCACCTTTCTTTCAATATGACCACAGAGTATTTTCTTACCACCCATATAGGGATCAAACCCACAGTGAAGAATAAAGTCATCTCGGGGGCGGGGGGGGGGGGGGTGGGGGGCGGGGGGTACTTGAAAATCCAAGTGCAATGCAATAGATTTACTTTTCATGGAGGAAGAGAAGTGAATTGAATACAATGGGGTAACATAAACAAATAAAAAAGTGGAAATTCCTGTCCTCATAAAGACTATATACTTTCTGTACTCTCATTCTCCTGAAGAAGTTAAATTACACAAGATGTACAAGTTCATTCTGAAAACACTGTAGAACTTGAAATTTTTTTTCACCTCACTTTTTTCCTTGAATGAGGCCTAAACACAGCAAATGGAGGTTTTAAAGACCACCAGGTGAAATCCTTATGCTACTATTTGCACCTATTTGACTTAGCACATGCTAATAATACAGGGTAACTATGTGACCTTAGCTAGTGTGCAAATGTCCGTGCAAACCTCCTATTACCTAAACTGTCTTAAATACCAATAGCAGCTCAGTGCATCCTGCACAGCAGTGCCCAGTGGCTGAATCCCTACTTTTGCAATTACGTTCAGCCTAGCTGAGTATATTGTCTGTATAGGGGTACGTATGCCTACACGCATAGCCGCAATTGCACCAGTGTTTTTGCAGGATAGCCTTCCCTGTACCTGCTTTTCGTAAGGATGTTTCCTGTGCGCTCTTTCATGACAGGATGTGACGGGTTTATCTCACCAGCCCACAACTCCAGTTTCCTCTGTTTAGTTTGCTCTAGCTTCCTAGCCAGCCTCTTCTTCCTCACTGAATACTTCCATGGATAATGTCATCCGGCTCCTCATCTCTTATTATACTTTTCATCAAATATTTTCCCCTAGTCATTCTGTTTTCCTTCAGATTCCTGTCGTGTTCTCTCCCAGGGTCTTTTCAATATTTTGTATATGTTGTCCTATATTCCTGCAGCTATCGTCTCCTTCATTTTATGTTTTTGTTTCCTTCTAATTCTTCTTCAAGATACACTTCTACCAGATTCTCTTCAGGAAAGACTTCTCTTAAACATAGCTTTAACTGGAAAAAGGCAACAGAGATCCTCATATACCTCCTAGAATCAGAGAAAGGGGAGCATAATTTGTACCTTAGCGCTCCTCTGAAGAACTTAGTTTGAGGTTGCCTTGTCTGCATTATGTCATCTAGGCCACAGCAATGTTCTTTCTAACCTAAGACTACAGGCTCCAATGTATAGGGACCATGTGTTTATTTTCTCTTCAAGACACTGTCTTCACCTATGTTTCCAAAGAGCATCGCTACTGTTAGTAGTAATAACACTGCAGGGGAAGATAGTCTTTGACATCATGTAATCCCTTCCGAGTTACATCACAGGAAGGGCTAGAGAAGGTCAGTGAACAAATAGATCTATACAAGGCCTATTGGATCTTGCACTTTGGTCCTTGCAGTGATATTTATGAAATGATAGTTAAAATAGTAGTGGAAAATTTTGAAACTATATTTGCTCAAACGTGTTTACACAGAGATCCTAATAGTGTACGATGGCCGTTCACGTTGGTCACTGTATTTAACTGTAAGGCTAGGCAGGCTGTTACATGCACACACTTAGGAGGCTAAGGCACTGTCTTGTATAAATATTTTATAAGGAAATGCAATTTCATCCAAAGGCCTAGGATCAGGTGTATACCACAGTCACCAGGAAGGAAAATCCAGAGAGCTGTTTCGCTGTTGATTTTATATTTTAGCTCTCTGGAGGTATTAAACATTTTTTAAAGGAAGTTTTTCTTTTTTTTTTTTTTAATCTCCCTGTTTGTACTATAGCAATTTAAAACATACTTTTGTTTTATCACAATTTTTAATTAGGAGAGGGGAATATAGTTTCAATCCCTCCCATGCTGGCTTTCCAGAGTAAGTCTTTTATCAGTTGCTTTACAGCAGTTTATCACCGACTTTCAAGCCCAGCCACTACAATTTGCTTGACAGATCCATCTTCTCCCTGCTGGCCAGGTGAAGGGAGAAAGGGTTCAAAGAACATGTATGTAGAGAGTTATTTGAAGTACTCAAAATAAAGGGACATGGATCTATGAAAAGCAGTCACAAAAAGTTAAAACCTGTGCTGACCTTGGATCAAGGCCTGCGCTAACCTGACTTTTACCTTTACTGTGTAATTCCCTGCAAAATTCACTTATAAGGGCTGATCATTGCAGGGGTCTTCATTTTCAGTCTTTCCTTGTTCCTCCTCTCACATGGCTTATCCTTCTGCCGATTCGCATGACCAGAGACAGAATGCTTCAGATGGTAATGGCAGTTTCAAATGCAACAATAAGGGAAGGAATCATGTGTTTTGGACCTTGCTAGTTGGTACTTATGGTGTGAACAACAGATGGCATCCAGTGAACGACACTGAGCCAGCTCATTTCTGTTTCAGAAGATCATTCAAAATGACAGCTGTTGCACAGCATCGAGAGGCATATGCTGTGATGTATGTAAAACCGTTACCTTTTTACGTGCCTCGCAAGGAATACAAGCAAAGGCAATTGTTAGGAATTGACCATTATCAGCCATATCCAACGAGTCAAATTCTGCTATTAACAAGATCAGGTCATACCAAAATAAACAGGAGATGAGCACACAACATTGTAAGTGACAGCATCACTGAGCCATGTATTTGCTGCATATGCAGAGACACTGCATGTGTAGTAGGGGCAGACAGGAAAAGAAAGTGTAGATGTGGGAACCCGAGACTGAAGTGAGAAGCTAAATCCTTCTTAACACAATTTCTTACTATAAAGCAAATTCTTTTTCAGGTAAACAGAGAAAGGTAAATTTAACTGCATTTTATTGAGACAGTCTTACATTGAGAGCTCTAACATATGTGGGCCAGACTTCTTTGATTCTAAGTAGAGGAAACTGTATGAAACATTTGCATTGGAAGATGTGTTTAGTCTGCTACAACTATGTTGATTTTTAATGGAAAGGACTGTATATAAGAAATCCAAATGTTCCATCTGGCTGCCAGTTTTTACTTTGGGGGCTTTTGTTTGTTTGTTTGTTTCCAGTTTAGTTTCTGTCCCTCAGCTGGAGGGAAGTGAGCGGCTGTTGATTAGAGAACGATTTCAGAAAAGTCTCAGCAAGAATGAGAAGCTTTCAGACTCAGAACCAAATACTGGGAGGAGCTGAGGCTGAAAATCAGTTTTAAATTTATGTATCTTAAAATGTCTCAAAAAGAATGCTTAAGTCAGTAGGCTTTCATTTAGCTCATAACCCACTTCCACTAGTAAGTTATTAGTCAATCAACACACTTCATTAATTGTGATTATAATGAAAATAAGGAAAGAATATATGACAGCACTAGAATAATAATACCTTGATCCTTCTTATGGATACCTAATGATTGCTCAGAGTCCTAACCTATGTCCTTCGCAGCAATAAGCACTGTGTTTATTTGAAAGAGTTCTTTTTAAGGTCTGTTTAGTAGACTTGTTGTTCTCACAGAGTTTAATAAAGCTCCATGTTTCATGAAGTCACATCAACCTTTAGAGTGTTTCCTCTCTCTGCATTTATTCCCCAGTGTAAGCTCTAATATAACAACAAGCAGAATGGTAAGGTCACAAGCTGAGAATGAAGTAAGTGATAGAGAAGTCAAAATGTCTTACTTTTTGCAATAATGCTTTGTTAAATATCATCAAACTGTGACTGCAATTTTTTGAAGACTCTCAGTATCTACCACTGACATTCTAAAAATTTGCTAAAAATAAAGGTTATCTGTATTGCATATATATGCTTCTCTTAAAATATCGAACATTTAATTCCAGACAGTGTTCAGACTATTTAATCACCTACTGACTATTATAAACAATTATGCAGTCTTTATCAACTGTAGTTCCTCCTTCGTATATTCAAAATGCTGAATAGTTGTGCTCCTAGGTTGTCAGTAACCAAGTTTTTTGTTCATATCACATAATCATATGTGTGTCTGCAGGACTTGTGCTGCATGGACTTGTGCATAGCAAATAGTATAGTAAGAGCACTACAGTTTTATAGCAATGAGGTAAGTTTTCAAAACTTATAGGCACCACATTCATTTGAAATTAGTTAGATTTCTAATATCTCATTTTGGAAGTTTTTTTCTCCAGTTGCTCTCACTCTTATCTTTGGACTTTCAAGCTAGGATCAAGTCTCTTCATACTAGTGGTCCTAAATTACTATGCATGGCTTCCTTGGCTTCCTTTTTTTCCTCATTCTCCCTCTCCTACATCTTATCTCTACCACTTCTCTTCTCCATAATCTGACACCACAGTAAATCTATTTTTTAAAATAAAACTGTCAGGCAGTGGGATAAGTGTAGTTGAAAGTTATGATGGTGGCACTGGTAGTATGAGTTTTACAGCAGCTCTTCTATTGCTGCATTTGGTTTGCCATAACACTCAACAGCACAGATGGCTTGACAATTTCATTTTTAGCACCATGTAAATTCCCACAGGTACACAAAATAAATTTTACTATTCACATTTCCTCATTAAAAAAAAAATCTGTTTGTCATTCTTGTGCCATCTTCTTATTATCATTTAGCATGGACACCAGTAGTGAATAATAACAAGAATGTAAACATCTGCTTTTTACAGGCAGCCACCCACCAGATTGTTATGTACTTTATGAGCATTATGAGGCAAAGGGAGGCAGGTGTCTCAAGCCACCCAAAATGTGTAAGTATCACTTTATTGCCTTCCACTACAAGCATGCTACTGAATTTTTACAATTTTTGTTTTTCCTTGTATAAGTAAATATTACTGCAAAAAAAAAGGAATATAGAACTAGTTAAAATGGTAAAACAAAACAAAAAAATCAAACCGAAGAACTTTCAAAAATGAAGAAACTTGACACAACAGTCTTGAATTTGATAGAACTTGACTGAGCAAAGGCAACTAACACATGAGGTATGATCTCAGAGGCTCCTCAGGTATTCACAGGGAGTAATTCTGAACAGGTATAAATGTACTGACAGAAAGGTTTTACTAGTATAAGTAAGGAATAACCACATTTCTCACATGTAGCAAAAACATAAGCTATGAAGATTGTTTCAAGGGAATGTAAATAAATACTCCATGCTGAGCTGCCATCATATATCATTTGCATATGGATCATATTTTAAAACATAGCTCTCCTTTACAAAATGTTATTTTAAAATATTTTTACATTTGTGCTATTTTATATTTCTACTACTGGAGAGTAGAACTTTCCTAATACCATGAATCCAACTGTACATATGGAAGGAAGAAAAAACTAGCAATAATAATGATAATACATCAGTAAAGATCTAAACTTGTTTTCTCATTTAAATAAACTATTTCAAACCTTAGATTTACTATCTCAAAAGGCAAGGACTGAAACAAATCAAATATAACATAGATTACTGGGAAGAAATAAGATCTGTGCATTTCTAAAGAGATAAATAGAATATTTCTGTCCAGCATGGTTCAGAAGATCTAACCTGACTGCACCTTAAAAATGTCACTGGCCTGAGACTGAACACTGCTTGCTCTAAATCTGTGACAGTGCAGGGTTGTAAGGAAAAGTAAAGTGAGGTGACAATTATTCACCAGCAATCACAGATGAGTAAGTTGGCTTACTCCTCTCCTCCTACCTCAGAGACTGGAGATAGCACGCCACAAGTAAGAAAGCAGGAGCAAAAGACAAGTCAGTCACAAGAGCTGTACAGGCCCTGTTTCATATCAGTAACAAAGACTCCAAAGTGAGTAAAAGAGAGGAACAGAGATGAAAAGTGTGCCTTGAAGCTCCCTTTAAGCATCTGCTTCAGAAACAGTGGCTCTCCTAGAGGGAGAATCACTATGCATTGACCTATTTCTCCAGCACACAGCACAGATTCAACACTCTGTACATTACAGGAGGTTGGATGTTACTGATACCTCGAGACATACTCAGAGGCTTTATTTTAAAATCAACAAGTAAATACTGTCTCCATTCAATTGCTACACTTGTAAATGTAGGTGTTCTGAGATGAAAAGCTGACCAGGCTTAAAAAGAAGTGGTCTGGAGAGTGTTCTCTGAGAGTAAAATTTAATGACACTACCCTAGCCCAAGCTCAGTGATGGCACTTGTTCCATCTTTTCTGCTTTTTCTCTGAATAATGGAGATAAATGTTGGCTTAGATCTGTGCTTTGCAAACACATCTATATGCTAAGCTTCAGCTTTAAAGCTTCTGCTTGGACTGATCTTTGTTCTTTGGTTTTCATTGTCCTGCACCTAGGGAGGAATAACTCCATGCACCAGTACAAGCTGGAGGCTGACCTGCTGGAGAGCGACTTGGCAGAGAAGGACCTGGGGGTCCTGGTGACCATGACAAGTTGACCATGAGCCAACACCCTCATGGCCAAGAAGGCCGATGGTGTCCTCAGCTGCATTAGGAAGAGCTTTGCCAGCAGGTCGAGGGAGGTGATCCTGCCCCTCTGCCCAGTCCTGATGAGTCCACATCCGGAGTGCTGTGTCCAGTGCTAAGCTCCCCAGTACAAGAAAGATATGCAGCTACTGGAGAGAGTCCAGTGTAGGTCTACTAGGATGACTAAGGAACCGGAGCATCTCTTCTATGAGGAGAGGCTGAGGGAGCTGGGCCTGTTCAGCCTGGAGAAGAGAAGACTAAGAAAGGATCTGATCAACGTGTATAAGTATCTGAAGGGGGAGCGTCAAGAGGATGAGGCCAGTCTCTTCTCCGTGGTGCCCAGCAACAGGACAAGAGGCAACGGGCACAAACTGAACCACAGGCAGTTCCATCTAAACCTGAGAAAAAACTTCTTTCCTGTGTGGGTGCCAGAGCACTGCAACAGGTTGCCTAGAGAGGCTGTGGAGTCTCCTTCCCTGGAGATACTCAGTAGCTGTCTGGACACAATCCTGGGCAATGTGCTGTAGGTGACGCTGCTGGAGCAGGGGGGTTGGACTAGATAATCTCCGGAGGGCCCTTCCACCCTCAACCGTTCTGTGACTCTGTGTGAAGCCACACTACCTAAGTAGCATGCTCCAATTGCTCATTATTTCAACTTGTCTATTGCTAACACCTTTTGGAGGGAGACATAGAAAGACCCTTTTCTAAGGAAGAAATTGTTTGAGGGACTGGGAGAAGGGGAGACAATGCTTTATCTGCAGTCTGTTTATACAGGCTTCTGCAACCACGTTTCACAAGACAGTTTGAGATACTTGGGTAATATACTTGGGAATATTCAAGTATATGCATAGAAAAGACTTAGCTGAACCTATTAATTCTACGTCAGTGGGAAAACATGAATGGCACCGACGGACAAATGCCATCAGGTAGATATTGAAAAACACAAAGAGGAAGTAGCAGAGAAGCAAAAACTGAGAAAAATAGCACAAGGAAATAAAAGTAATTTTGACTTTGGTAAACAGATGAACAATATAGATATCACTGGAAAAATAAAGCAATGAAAAGAAAGCAGGTAGAAAAATATTTGCAACAAAAGATCCAGATATCATATGATGCTACCTGGAAGACACAAGATCATCTGATCTGAAATCAGAGAGCATAACTTAGGTTGAGGAGAAGGGAAAAGAACATACAGTTTTCTGACTTCCAAGAACATGATCCTGCCCCTTATGCTTGCTTTAGTTAATCCTGGTTACTTAATTTCCCAGGTAGCAAATATAAAAGTTTCACTCTGCTCACCCTGTTGTTTTCCTCTTTATGATCTACAAACTATTGAACGAACCTGTTCCTGTAAAGACTAACAGGAGTCAGCCAACAGTAGATGAAGAGTTAAATAATGATGAGACAGATTTCCTGGGATCACTGAGAAGGAAAAGAAAGTAGGTGTAAGGATCGAGCTTGATCGTTTTGGTCTGAAGCTCTTTGTCTGAAGTGGATCCCAGAATTAGAGAGGCATGTGCAGCACGTTCCCTTTGCCCTCTGCTGCAAAGATGAGCAAAAGAGTATCTACAGAATGATCTCTCTGTTTTTGCATGACCCAAGGACCCAAAGATCAAGTAGAGGGGTCAGGATTTGGAGGTAATTTGATCATGATTCCAGATCCTGTCAAATTCCAAAAATTTATGACATTAAGCTTGTCTTACGGCAGCAGAAATAAAAGCATATGTTATTCTGATGTCATGTACTGTATGGAATGCAATTTTCCTTAAGATTCATGCAAAAGCTACCATTTCTCTGCTAGTGGAACATAACGTTCATCTTCATTGTACTGCTATGTAATGCTTCTGCATGTTATTAAATATTTACCATTTGGCATTCCCAAGGTGATAACATTTCCAGAGTGAATGCAATATGACTTCTATCTCCCTTTCAATGATTCTACTTGTAAAAATGAATTCATTTTTGATATAACAACTGTAAAAACATTTTTTCTACCTTTTTGTAATGAGTTAACAGGTGAGTCATTTACAACAGAAATACATAGCTGAATAGTTTTACAAATATCTATTCAATTTCTTCTTTATCCCCCAAATTACTAACTTACAAAACATATTTTACAGGGTTTTCACTCCAAGGAAGAGATTTCATTGCTCAATGAGTATTTATTTAACATATAGGATACTTTTCTTGTTAAATCTAAATTAAATTCATTTTAAGAACTTTAATTTTAAAGAACAGCTGATATTCCTAACATGACAACTTCCAGATAAAATAATTACAATGCAGTACTGGTTAGACATATGCTGCACCGATGTCATTTAAATATATACAAATATCACGTGCAACAAGGGATAAGAGCAAAGAGAACCATAAGAAAATATATTTATCCATTCTCAATTCCTAATCCAATTCACCGATGATCTACCTATAAAATTTTCTGAAAATGATTCCACAGCAGATTACTGCATTGTGATATCTCTTACTTATACTTCTAAATTTTTATAAAATAGATCAGAGTAATCGTTCGATACTCTGAAGTATAATTATAAATTAAAACTGTACTTGCCATGATGAGAAAACATATACTAGTACTTACCTAGCAATCTGCAACAGGATTTACAAATCTTTAGTAAAAATAAATATGTTCCAAGAAAAAGAAATTTGTAAATATGTATCTACTTGGTGGGATATCATTACAATTGAAAATATTACCCAAAGCCTTACTTTTAGTAAAAAGACTTTGTCTTTCTTACCTTTAAAGAAAACAAAATTCCCCTCACTGTTTTCATAAACTGCATCAATGCTCGGAGGCAGTCCCCTCCAGAAGTAGGTAATCTGCATGGGGTATCCATCCATTACCCTGTTGTTTCTCACGCGCCAAAACCATTGATCCTGGAAACCAAACATATGAGTCTCTTACTACACTTTGAGACATTAATGTATGTTCAGCTGCTGCCTTCAAAATACTTAACAGCCTATCGTAGCATTTTCAGAATATGACCTTTACCTATTTGCATAACCATATTAGTGTTTGTATTCACCTCACCTCCCCACATTACAAATGTGTCAGAACTAGTTGTACCCTAAGGTCAGAATATGTTATCCATCTGAACCGTGCAGCGTAGATAACTTTCTGTAGGACATGTACCATGTTGTACGTGATGACGTAACCTTGTCACCATTACAATAAGGGGCCCAACTTAAGATCTGAAGATTGACTGCAAGTGTTTTTAGGCTGAAACCTAAATATATGTGTGAGCCCTGTATGACAGGACTACAGATAAGCTTGTGAGGATCAGCTAATTCTGCAAGTCATTTTTCTGCAGTGACTGCTAACAGTGAGAGAAGGGCTGGTAGCTATAGTTGTAACATCATGACATCAGTCCCATAAGAACTACACCTTAATGGCCATTTTATTGTAGATTTGCAGTCTTTACCAGTGATTTAAACAGAAAGGTTAACATCACAGCTGGTTATAGCTTTAAATCCAGTGTCCCGGTTAATCTCAAAGCCTTACTTTCTCTTATATTGTTGCCATTTAAAATGGCTTCTCCCTAAGGGATATTCTATGGCTTTATGCGAGAACAACACGAGGTGCATTGTTGAGGAACGAGGAATGTTCAAGTTGAGAAATGAGTATGTAACATGTAACACATTAGGTGGCTGTAGGTAAAGATGCCTTTGTGGTACCTCTTCAACTCTTACAACTACAACGGGTCCAGCTCATCCTTGTCAATATTTAGAGATGAAGGAATGGTTTAATCAAGTATTTTCACTTTTTACAAACATGTTAACATTTTTACACCATTAATATTATATACAGCAAAACAAAACCCCTTAAAAGATAAAGACAGTGCTATCCTGTCAGTTCTCTGTTACAGGACTTTTACATGGCAGTTCAGTCTTCTTTCTTTATAGGTCAACGTGCCAAGCAAAAGAGACCTGTGCTCTTGTGGATCTGGCACAGCTTAGAGAATAGATTAATATTTTTACCAGCAGCAGGCTTATGATGAACTGTATTCATCATCTTTCCAAACCTGAGATCACAACTCTCTTTAACTGTTCGTCTTTTCAATGACACTATTACTTATAAATCTCCACAAAAAGTATTAGCCATACAAATACAAAATAGCTCAATATATACACACAAATACATCTTAATTATGTGCATAAGTAAGTCTACAACTGAAAGAGCTGTTAGCCATCCCAGGTTTCTGAGGAGGACTTTAGTTAAAGAAAAAAAAAAAAAAAAAAAAAATAGCTTACATAACCTGAAAAATATCATATTGAAAAAGTTATAACTGTCTAGAAATTCTATTCTATTCTGTTATAACCTCTAACGCTTTTGTTTAGTGGCATGTTTAGCTACGCACCTGCTAGTGCAATTTACAGTTCGCTATCTTTGTCTGATTAGACTATTTTCAGCTTTCAGTGCTTTATACTGTAAGATGTATTACAACAGTTAAGGAAGGGCAGCAAAGTAATTTTTAGGATTAATTGACTAAACTCTAGATTGAGAACAGGAAAAAGGAGGGGAATACAACTTAGATTAGGAAGATCTAACTGAAGTGTATGTTCTGAAAGCTGGAATAGATTACGTCAACTTCTTTTTTTTAATTTTTTTTTTAGCATGAAGATTATACGAGAGAGCTTTGAAAAAGGAAAAATTTTGGGAAAATTTCCTGAAAATAGATATTGGGAAGGACTTTTTCATTGAAATAGTAATAAAGTCGTAAAACGGATTTTTAGGTCAGATTTGTGAGGTGTCATCAATCTAGGAATGACTTAGGTGTTGTCCTGGGAGAAATGATGTAACGGTAAGTCTCAACAGGCCAAACAGTTTTTTGCCCTCCCCACATTTCTGTAAAACCTTAAAAATACAGACAGTATCTCAGAAATCAGTTATTAAAGTTAAAAAGAAAAAAAGGACAAACAAGTAACAAGTTGTAGTGATTTAAAACTGCACTCTTTCTTGATATCTTTTACTATCTTTAACACAATGGAATTTTCCAACTTTGTCTTTCTTCACTCTAAGAGCAGGATACACCATATTATTTAGCTGAATTTGGCGACATCTTAGAAAAAACAGTTTAGTTGCAAGAAGGACCATATGCAACTCTCATAAAACGCCCACCAACTCCAAAGGAAAATGGTCAAGATGTAGGTAAAAAGTAAGCAAAATACTTAAAGCTGAAGGAGTGCTGACTACTTAGCAGAATACAAATGGATGTAAGTACACACTTAATCACTTTGCTGAATAGAAGTGCTGCATGAAAGGCTCAGGCTTTCAGGAGTTTACCAGCATAACCCTCATACACAGGAAAGTCTCAATGCCACTGCTTTAGGCAAAGCTTGTAACATTACAAGCTAGCTAATAAATCTCAAGTTTCAGCTACTACACTAACGGAGATCTTGTAAATCACATTAATATGTTACAAGAAAAAGATTTCTGTAGCTCCAATGACAGGAACAGTCTTCTTTTGATCAGACTCAAACTACATTGCAAAACTGTCAATCACCTCTGTTGACTTCTATTTTTAAAATAGTCAGCGAAGATCCTCTGTTTGAGATTGAGTGAGTTTCAGCCTTAACGATTTGTGGAACTTATCGGCACTGACTGACTTTGATAAAAAGACCAATAAGATGATAATCTATAGATTTGTTTTGAGTTATATTTCATATAATGTATTTCACATTCAATACTAGGATTTTGTAGGATAATAGTGAGAATAGCCTAATTTATTTTTTGTTCAAATTCCTCAGCAAGTCAAAAAAGCCCTGTGCCAATTAAGGATAGATATTTATGCACAATGAAATAATGCTGAATTAATTTTTTGCCAGCTACCTTCGCTTACCTTTTGTTGAAAGCTCATTTATGCCTAGCATTGGCATTAGCAAATGCATATATGTGTGTAAACTCCATGGGGCTGCGCTGCATAAGTACAACCTTCCATAAGTGTATTATTGTGATTATTTTAATTATGTAATAGCAGGGAAAAATTTTTGACTTTCTAATCAATCCTTTTGACTATCTAATCAATCAATCTTACTGACAATGGTCCTCTCACAGTAGAAAACTTCACTGCTGCAGTAAACCACACACTTAATGCACCACAATAAAATGTAAGAACCTGAATCCAATTTTACCTCTTTAGGTATGTTCTCCCGTAATCACCACGGGCAGTCATGCACTGAAACGTGGCACGAGTATGATACTAAAGGCTCTACTTTTCTGTTCTGGTTGCTGCATTTGCATCAACATTTGGGTGTGAAATAAAGACACAGGGCACAGGCATCACACTAACCTCATGTTTGTAGACTGGGTTTCTCTTTTATTTTTTAAGAATGAAAAACAAAGTACATACAATTGCACATAGCTGTGTGTCCTTGATGTACAGTACAAGTATTTAATTTGTCCTGACAATTTTTTCTCTAGCCACACTTCAAAGATCATTATACTTAATCTACAATTGTCAACATTAAACAAAAAGGATTTGCCAAAATACTTAAGGTTTCTAACCCTCTGATATATTTATTTTTCATTTCAGTCAGAATCCTAGAAAACACTTAAGTGCAGAACAAGCTCCAACCGGGTACCTGCCAGCGCTGTCCAGAAACTACTGATCTCCTGGATCTGGCTATTAATTCTCTTGCATTTTTTGCTACATTTATATGAAATGAATCTTGCCTTTCAAATTCACTACTATACGCAGGAAATTATTTTTCATATTGTGTTCGTGAATTACATTGGTGGTATAAAAATACTGAAAATGTCTCTGTGTCTCTGTTATATATTCTGAGAAGTTTATCCATGTAGCAAACTCCTTATTTTCCTGGGCTACTTTCAGTAGATTTATACGCCATAATAAATGTAAACAATGGGATTTTTCTCATCAGTGAAGACCCTTCAGGTTTCTATAGAAAGAACATTTTTGAAATGGGTAACTTTAGCTTTTTGATGTTCTTATATGAATAGACAGAAGCAGGTACATTCTTTGCCAATAGATGCCTATCTCTAAAAATACAATAGAGATAGGCAGACTGACAAGATTCAGCAAATTTCTGGAAATGTCTTGAGGCAGAATCGGAAGTTTGGATCATTTATAAGATGGGGCAAGGAAGGTGCTGAGGGAGGTTAATAGAATAATGTGTTTATGTATATTTAATTTCCTGGGATGACTTTCCCATGAACATGCTAGACTATTTTTAGATTGCCAGAGTTCAAACTCTGGGACACGAACTGAGAACCTCCGATGTGTGGCTACACAGCACCATAAGGACCTTTATGAAATAGTAGGTGGGATAGGCTCTGCTTATAGAAAAAATCTGAAAAATTTCAGTAGCTATGACTATTCTCATTGTACTTTGCTTAATTTACTGAATTTATCTTAGGCGAAGCTATATTGACCAGTACCTTTATCATCTGTATCTAGATAAAGAGATAAAAGTACTAAATTGCGTTTTCAACACAGTTTAGCTATTAGGGAAAATAGAAAGAGATATAGTCCAAGAGAAAGTGCATATTCTCCAAGAAAGCTCCTTTCACTGAAAAAAACTAGCTTCCTCAAATAAATAAATAAATAAATAAAATAATAAATAATAATAAGATAAACAATAAATAAATAAATAGCTTCCCTA